AAACCTGGGACGTTGTGCCACTACCGAAGGGACGCAAGGCCATCGGTTGCAGATGGGTGTTTCGAGTCAAGGAGAACCAGGATGGCGAGATCGAGCGGTTCAAGGCGCGTCTGGTTGCCAAGGGATTTTCGCAGAAGTTCGGCATCGACTATGACGAGACGTTTGCACCAGTGGCCAAGTTCACATCGATCCGAATCGTGCTCAGTTTAGCTGCAAAGTACGGACTCAAGTTGCACCAGATGGATGTGAAGACTGCGTTCCTGAACGGTGAGCTGGATGAAGATATCTACATGGAGCAGCCAGACGGCTACGTTGATGAAGACCATCCGGACTACGTGTGCAAGCTCAAGCGTTCGCTGTACGGACTGAAGCAGTCGCCGCGCATGTGGAACCAGACCATCGACGATTTCATGCTGAAGATGGAGTTCGCCAAGTGCGAGTCGGATCACTGCGTGTACGTCAAGCGGGAAGGCGACGACATGATTTTCGTGGTGCTCTATGTGGACGACTTGATCATCGCGAGCAGTAATGACGAGCTGATGAAGTCGACCAAGAGTGCTCTCAGCGATAGGTTTGAGATGACGGATCTCGGCGAACTCAAGTACTTCCTCGGGATGGAGATCAAGCAGAACCTCGCGGCTGGAGAAGTATCGCTGCGACAGTCCAAGTTCGCGCAGACCATCCTGACCAAATTCGGCATGCAGGACAGCAAACCTGTGAAGACTCCACAAGACCCTGGACTCAAGTTGACGAAGAACATGTGCGAGGGTGGCTGCCACCACGACGAAACCATGGCAGGTGTACCATATCGAAGTGCCGTCGGTTGCCTGATGTACTTGATGGTGGGAACACGCTCGGACCTTGCGGCTGCAGTGGGAGCTCTCAGTCAGTTTGCTTCGGATCCATGCCCCACGCATTGGCAGGCACTCAAGCGAGTATTCCGGTACATCCAAGGCACAAAGACACACGGCATCGAGTTTCAAGCGAGTGATACGGACGGTCTTCGCGGCTATTCGGATGCAGACTGGGCAGGCGATGTGGAATCTCGACGCAGCACGAGCGGATACGCATTCATGATGAACGGCGGATGTGTGAGTTGGCGCAGCAAGAAGCAACGAACTGTAGCACTATCGTCTACGGAAGCAGAGTACATGGCGTTGTCGGAAGCCACGCAAGAGGCAGTGTGGCTCAAAGCGTTTCTGCGTGAACTCGGCGAGATGGCAAACGATGAAGCTGTCAAGATCTACGAGGACAACCAAGGCTCCATCGCATTGGCCAAGAATCCCGAGTTTCACAAGCGCACCAAGCACATCGACATTCGCTACCACTTCGTGCGCGAGAAGGTGGAAGACGGTCAAGTGGTGCTGGAGTACATTTCAACAAAGGACATGCTGGCAGACATCATGACGAAGCCGATCACAGCCATGCAGTTTGAAGTTCTTCGAAACAAGCTCGGAGTTCAAGCGCCGAAGACTGGCGAGTCGAGTGGGAGTGTTGTCAAGAAGACGCCTCGACCAGCTGCGGAATACCGGCAGATACCGGTATGACCTTCACTCAGCAGTACCGCAATCATTCCTGTGATTATGGGACAATGTTTACGCCACACGTGGGTACAAGATTGTGGGTACATGATGGGATCTACGTGGCACTCGCTGATTGGCTGAAGTAACTCAGTATCCAGTAAAGAATCCAGTAGAGTGTATCCAGTAGGTAGGACAAGAGGCTTAGAGGTAGCAAGTAGCTTGTGAACTAAGGACCTAAATCAATCACTTTGCATTTTGCACCAAACTACGAAAGTGACCGTTATGCAACGCCCATTGGCAATGTATTGTCTTACACAGTGACGGTCGGAAATCACCAATTTCACTTGTATGTCGGGAACATAGGACCAGTTAATGTCTATTCGTTCTTAGCGACCAAGATGATACCAGCACAGCGTCGATCTAATAAATTTCTTTAGAGCGCTTCCCAACGGCCATAAAGTTGACTCGTCCCAGTGGCTGACAAACTTGCAGTTGGGCACAGAAATCTTTCAGGTTACAAGCGGCCATTTCACCGTGTCTAAATTAACGGCTACCATTAAATAGAAGACGTGGCTCTTTCATTCAATGTGAGGCAACGTGTGATACTTTGGAACATTTTAAGCAGTTTTGATGGTCATGTACACCGTGTGCGCTTCAGCATCATTGTCATTCTCAAATAGTAAGAATAGCACCCTAACAATAAGGAAATCGAGTTTGTCATTCTCCTTTTGATTTGCTATTCCTGATGTGTTCACATATGCAAGTCACTTACATTTTATCTTGCTCGTATGTTTAAGCATTCATTCCTTCTCTTTTAAGAAAAACAATGATAAGACATCATGCTCTTCCTGTGAATTTTTAGTCGAACAAGAGAAAGTATGGATATTCATTCAGCAAGGCCTTTTCAACAGTATTCACAACTTTAACCACGTTGTCATTGGTAAGTAGCTTAACAATACAAATTTCGCACGTTTCGACGGCGTACACACCCTTTAATCGCTCGTCGCTGTAGCCATTCCCTCGTATACTTTATTAAGATAATATGCCTTAATCGCACGCTATGATGCTAACATTTTGGTAAGCAACACTCGAATCAATGCTTCGAATCCGAAAAATCTCATAGTTTTCTCTTACAAATATATAGTAGTGTAAGATATGTCCCGCCGACTAATTGCTAATATAATTGTATCAGCAATGAAAGAGAAATGGGTGAATTGAAAGGTGAATAATTAGTCGCCATACAGATCAATTAAATTAATAGTTTATGTAAGATTAAGATGGTTTTGATTGTAATGAGTCTTAACCGTCTTCAATTAACAGTTGCCCTATTTACGTTTATTTATAGCACGTAAGTAGCATAACGTGAAGCTTCATGACACCCTTTATATTGTATACTGTTTTCAAAATACCTGAAGGCTAGTGAGCACGTATTGCAGGATTTACCTTTTCATGACGAATGACCTCGAGCTCAATACCATACAATTATTTGAAGACAGTCTGAGTAGACTAAACTAAACTGTTACCTTGTGGATTGAACTTAATTTTCTGCCAAGAACTGTTCTCAGTGAAGTCAAGCTCAGCAGCAACGGAGACAGTTAGCAGTTGTGAAGTTTTAAGATAACGACTTATCTACAGTATTGTAAATGGTAGAGTCAAGTGGATAGGATCGCGTAGACTGACCATGTGCTGATGGAGTAGGCGCATGCGGCGATTGTATACAGTTTGATTGGCATGCAAAGGCTACACGTTATCACAACAGGACGGCAACCAACGCGTGGAACACACTGTAGCACCTTAACGAGTCGAAGGACATGCCAAGTTGCATGTAGCTTTCAGTAACGTTATTAAGCTTCGCTACGCGGCGTGCTCGATAAAAAGCATATTGAGGAGCTTGAGACTCGTGTTGTACATGACACCGTGGTGTGCCGACCGGATGAAGATGACGTGTATGCAACGCTGCTGCGTATCCGCTCATTGTCGCTTGACGGCTCAATGCATGCGAAAGTCGGCAAGTTTACGTACAAAAGACGTGATGAGTCGTGTCTTGGCGGAAGTCATTTGACACTTCCGCCAAGACATTCGACAGTAGGAGCAAGGCCGCATCGAGCAAGAGACTACGGTGCAGGCTAGAAAAGGAAACGTAACGTGTAACCTGCACAATGGGTAGATAAAAAAATTCTTTTCGTATCAATTCTTGCACTTCTTATCTTGCATCACCTGTATCGACATCTAGCATCACTTTTGCTGTGTGGAATGCACATTCATTTCTGTAACCTCTATACATTGGCAGCATAAGAAAATGGCAACACAAACCTTTGCCAACTCTTTAGGCTGTTGCTCGACTTTAAAGTTAGTTCATTGTGAATGAAAACTTGTCTACTATGTATTGCTACCAATTTGATGATGCATGTGAGAAAACTTGTTCTACCCTTAAGCACAATGAAATACTGTAGACGCTATAATTCTAGCTTACTACCTCATTAACACATTCGTAGGGTAAAATGATGTAGACGAATGTAAACGACTGTAAACGTTCTCCCCTTAGGATGCTCTATACACAAGAACTTGAGGCCGAAGCCCTGGGATGTAGAAAAAGTTTATTCACCTCCCAGCAATTTGCTGCAAAAGTGACAATGGGAGATTTAGAGTCCTATGGCGTCATTTATAGCTGCTGCAATAGGCACGTGAAGCACCGTCATGGTCGTAACCGATGAGATAGTTACGCTAATGTCTTTATTGCTGTGGTTTCTTGCTACTTGTGAACATTGGTAGACACTTTCAAGAAAGAAATGGAAGTTATGACAGGCTTTTACATTAAGTCGTTTCACAATACCTCATTAACGCCGCGAAACATCGTACTGAAGCCAATACAGAAGCTCAGGATATAAAGATGGTAAGGTTCTCTTTGTGTTTTTGATTAATAGCGACACGTCATCGTGATAAGGATAGAGGTAGAGCTTAATCAATTGACAGGAACTATAATTGCATGATCCAGAGAAACGAAGTGATTGATTGAAAGCGCCCCTAGTAGCTGCCAAGAAAACGAAATTGTAGCTTCAACTTGTGGTAATAACGGCATTAATTACTATGGTGAAGGCTGAAAGCGACGAAGTAAGTTCGCTACATTGCCTTCGAGCTATGCTCAAAGCGGGTCTGGCCGAGACGTTGTTCCAGCCAAGCCTTAGAAATTTCGTCGTGAAAGCTCTTTCACCTACTTTCGACGTCAGTATGGTAAAGAATGGTGCGTAACCGGTTTTAGTTCTTGACTGCGTTTACACGGCATTAGAAAGACAGAAAAAGTGTTTCAAGATGAAAAAAGCTAAGGATCAGACAAACTAAATTGGTCATTAACTACTACAAATGCTTGCTGTATCACCACCACATACAATTCGATCGACAGAGCGAATAGAATTAAAACAAGACAAACAGCAGTTCCAAACGACATTGCACTGTTCAAAGCAAAGATATGAAAAAAATCTAGTACATGTCGCCTTCAAAAAGCACCTCATCGTCCTTCTTGCGGTAAATCTGGTCTCCTTCGTGAAGCGAAACCTCCACGCTGGCTGGGCCAATAGGACGTTGCAGTGCCACGGGTTGCTTGTCTGCGGCCGTGAGTGGCGTCATGATCTCCTCGTAATCGTCCGTAGCCTCCTGCTCACGCATTAAAGCTGTCTGGCGAGCGCGTTCGCGTACCTTGGCACCAAAATGGATGAGGAACATGAGCAGCGCCACACCACCAATGACGATGGCTGTAATGGCCGGACCGCTCAGTTTGGTGGTCGTGGATGGTGTCTTCGTGTACGTTGCAAACGTTGTGTCCCAGTCAGAAGCCAAGCCTGTGCGAGACGTGCAGCATTTAAGATGTTCTTCCCACACAGCATTAGTGACGACACAGCGACCAGCAAGACCTTCACACTTCTCAGCAAGATTCTTCCACGTGTATGTCTTGGTCTTTGTATATTCCAATTGGCTCGTAAGGCATCCACTAAGTACCATCGGGACACCCGTTGGATCACCATAACAGCCATGCTGAATCATCTTAGAGCCTTTAATACTCTTCGTATTGCTCGTATACCGAATGTCTTGCTTCCCAACGGCCCAAAAGCTCTCACAGTCCGTTGATGCAAACAGAATGGCCGTCATACTGTCAGTAAGTGGTTTCAATGCATTATTAATGCGCCATTCAAGTGTCGGACCGTACAAAAAGCCACAATTCTCAGCACTTGCAGGACTTGCTTCATTGGAACAAGATGGTTGTGTAATTGAATTCGATGCATAGCAACAACCATTTGATCGAACAGCCGTGTAAATACTTGGTAATGATGCAGTCATTGTTGTATTCGTTGCATTAATAGGCGTTCCATCATAACTCTCAGTTGGCGAAACACACGTGTATGGACACGTGACACACCCACCATTCAAGGCATAATTACTCCATCCATCCGTACTAATTTCAATCACATACCCTGCTGATTGATTAAAGTAGTTTTTAGCATCGCCTTCATGTACTACACATTGCAATACAAGCAAAAGTAAGAAAGAAGATGGACGTATGGACATTATGGAATTCGCAACAGATCAATAGAATCCAAGAAACGGTCTGTTGCTCTTAATAATGAATGAATGAATGAATGATGATAATGACACACACTCTTTTGTTTTGTGTTTGTGTAACTTGAGTATGATTATTTGACTGACTCTATCAAATCCACAAAAAAAGACAGATGTTTTTTTGTAGTTCTGATGAAAAGACTGGGAAGAAAACTAACAGTTGAATCTGGCACCTTTCGACTGCGCCAAGAGAAAAATACAGAGTGGGAAAGCGATCGAATGAGGCGGCGGTTGCGTACTTTAAAATAAACTACCGTCGATTAAATTACTGATAAATGACGAGTCAGTTCACACCAGCTCTCGCCAGCGACGGTTCACCTCTTGACACGATCGTCACGCGAAAATTTTAAAATTCACTGGTACAAAAATGTAACCGTCTGTCGGTTGTGACACTTTTGACCTTGTGTCACATGAGCTTTATTTCAATCAACATCTCGTAACGCCGATGGTATTCCTTGTAGTCGAAAAAGCATGGGATGCAAAACGACTCGTGACAAGCACAGTTCTTGCTATCTAGTTCACATGGCGGCGATAGGTACACGAGATGAACAATTGTCATACATGTACCATCATGAAGCAGCTGATAGATGATTTATTTTTGCTTAGAGTATGTTAACTGTTTTTTGTGGCGATACGATTACTAGTAGCTTAGGGCCCAAGAGTTTGTGGCCGAAACAAAACGAGCATTGACGCAGTGGCGGTGCCATGTCAAAATCACTGGCTGTCATTGCCACTGGCTGCGCTCAGTGAAGCGGCCGATCTCGTGTCGTCGTGGTACGCGAGAATGAAACGGGACTGCTGTCGCGCTTCGAACTCGCACGGACGACACGATGTCGCGTTACGCGAACATCTGACTGCGAACTTCTCAAGTATATTTAACCATGTTTGTATGTTGTTTGTACCTACTAACTAGATGATTTATTTAAATCATGAGGTTTGCGTTATATGTCATAAGACTCGAGCAACCTCATGCACTCAGCTGGTGAGATAGCAAAATTATCATTTTACTTTAATCAACTTTGCTAGATAGTTGCAGCTGTAGTGGGTGACATGAAAGTTCATGTCATGGCGGTACGTTCTGGATAGATCTCGACCACATGCTTGCGTGCGTGGTGCGTCTCTTCCGCGAGGTAGGTAGGGCACCTCATGGTATCGTCAAAGTAGTGTCTTTTTATAACGCTGACAAGGAAGCGAAAACGTTGCATGAAAATCGAAGGAGCATGTTAAGAAAGAAGAAGAAGATATACAGACAACTAACAAAGTGTGCATCGTTGTGCTTGTTTGTGTATGATGTATGGAAAACATACTTTTCATTATCACAACAAAGCGATCGGCAATAAATGGGGACGAAAATTCCATTTACGGCAGAGGTCGAGAGAAATGATGAAACCGCTCTCAATCGCGAGTCGCATAAAGCCAGTTTTGTGTATCTCTGTGCCGTCTCTTGCACACTGCCTTTTTCTGTTTGTCATGGATTTTTCTGATAAATGACGGTAATTTATGTTTTAATCCAATCGTACATGAGAGATATCTTCACCGTCTTTCCAGAGAAAAATACGGGAAAGAAAACCAAATAAAAGCGAGTTAAAAGTGAGAGCTCATTTCTAGTTTTGTGCTCACTACTTGATAACAGACTACAGTACGCATCAGTTTTATCATTATCACTCTTTTTCTCCTTTCCTCCCCCCCTGTCGCTCTTATTGTCACATTGAGACATACAAAACGCAATATTCTTTTTTCTTTACAAACGGAAACCACGCCATTCCCTAGACCTAATTTGTATATAACGACCAACACTCTTTTTTTCCATAAGTGGGCTTTTTTACAAGCACCATGGCGCTTTCTGGTGCGGGCGTAATTGCTTCGGTCGTAGGTATCCTCGGCGGCTTGTCGCTATCTTGTGGCGGTTGGTCTTCTCTCTCTCTTGGTGCTCGTTCTCTCTTTGTGACGACTCAATTTCTATCGGCCTTTGCCATGTACGACCATCATTCTTGTTTTGTTCATGTCGCATTCTTGCAACTAACTGTGATCTTTGATATGTTGTACTATGGTTAGGGGATTTGTGATTGCATTTACTGCAATCGTGTCATTAAGTGATACAAATGAATGGGTCGCTATTGCTGCTGGGAGTGGTGCTGGCTTTCTTGTTGCCTTAATTGTTGGATTTGTGACATTTTGCGGTCCATATATCTTGATTTTGGTCACAAGTGGTCTCATTGGTGCTTATTTGTTACTATTTGATGCCTTTAATGGGATTAATGTGTTTCCAGCTGACAATCAATTGGCTCGACAAGAATTTATCGTTGCTTTTATGATTATATTTGAACTCATTTGTTGTTCAACGTCCAAGACGACGGAATTAGAAAATCATCGATTTAAATATGTGATTTTCTCTTCGATTACAGGCGGTTGGTTGGCGGCCGATGGGATTTCACGTCTCATTGATTCAGCTGCTGTCTTATCGGATGTAGCATTTCAATCGATTCAACAAGGTGGAAAAGCTGCGGTGACTGGCATGGATGGAGCATCCCAGACATTAATGTTTGTCATTTGGGGTGCTGTTGTTCTCATTGGTGGACTCAATCAACTCTCGATGCGATGGGGACTCATGTGTTACAATCGTGTTGGTGCTCATGCTCAACTTGGTCCCGTTGAAGAGCAATTGCCGGAATTACCCACGGGTGCCACGCTGCCTGCTCAAGTTATGACTGAACGTGTACGTCTTGTATGCGAGAATTGTTTTGCGACAGTTCCTAGTGGCACTGCTTTTTGTACCGAGTGTGGTGAAGCAATGCCTTCGGACGATGCCAATCCGGACGTTAGTATCTCGCAAGCACAGATGCCGTCTGTTGCTATGAATAGCAAGACTCAAGCACCTGATCGCTGGCAACAAGTGCCACATCGAACATACCTTAGTACGACATCTTTCGTTGACCCGAAGCATGCAAAAGAAGGTGGTGTTAGTATGAAAGATAATGGTCGAAGCATTCGTTTTATGGACTCTGGTGTGCAAGGTCCTGACGGCAAGATGAGCCAGTATAATGATTCTATTGCTGGTGTTCGCAACTACTACGAGCCTTCGTTCCGATCGTTTGCCATGTCAACGTACTCGATTGCTAATCGCGCTGCTGAGCCTGTTGAAACACCCAATATCCGCAAGTACAAGATGTCAGGCAGCGGAATGTTTCATGTGTTTTACTTTGGCACGGCGGCCACTGGTATTGTTTGGCTGTACTACCTGACTACAATGTACCCTCAGCAGTATTTTTGTGATCACGCTCGTCCAACACTGCCGTGCAATGCGTTGCCTACTAGTGAGGTTGCGGGCTGCTTTAGTTCGACGGTGAACTTTGATGCCGATTCTGGTGATGGATATTGCATCAGGGACGTGCCGTTTATGTCATGGGTCATGTACGCAATGATGATTTTCAGTGAGTTTCTCAATTACTTTTTGGGACTGCTCTTCAACTTCAGTATGTGGCGCCCGATCCGTCGTGGCGCTCGTTACATGAACGACTTTAAACCGCCAATTCCAAAAGAGCAGTGGCCTACGGTCGACATTTTCTTGTGTCACTACATGGAACCTGTTACGGATTCCATGCAGACGTTGAAGAATTGTCTGGCTATGCAATATCCTCCGGAGTTGCTCCATATTTTCGTTCTGGATGATGGTTATACCAAATCTGTGTGGGACGCAAACAACCACTTCAAGGTGACTGTAAACACAAAGGTGATTGAAATTTGTGGTGATTTGCGTGGCGATCTCGCGCGTCTCATGCACGAACGTGTGGTTGGCCCTGTTCAAGACGACCAGAGCTTGAAGACATGGCGTCGCCAGCACAGCTCTGTTCGCGAACTTCGTAAGGAGGGTGGCAAAGGCGTGCAGCGTCGCGACTGTGCTGTTGGCTCGCTTTCGGATGACTATGATTACCGTGACCGCGGTATTCCGCGTGTGACGTTCATTGGTCGTATGAAGCCCGAAACACATCACTCCAAGGCTGGTAACATTAACAATGCCTTGTTCAATGAAGGTGCTGATGGCAAGTATTTGTTGATTTTGGATAACGATATGAAGCCGCATCCGAAGTTCTTGCTTGCCGTACTACCGTTTTTCTTCTCGGAAGGTGAGGCGGTTGACGGTGGAGGTCGCCAATACAGCGATGATATTTCTTGGAACCAGGTGGCGTATGTACAGACACCGCAGTACTTTGAGGACACACCGCAACTGACGATCATGGGTGATCCATGTGGCCACAAGAATACCATTTTCTTTGACGCAGTGCAGTGTGGTCGTGATGGTTTTGACTCAGCAGCTTTTGCCGGCACTAATGCTGTTTTCCGTCGTCAAGCATTTGACTCGATTGGTGGCATTCAGTATGGTACCCAGACAGAAGATGCTTACACTGGTAATGTGTTGCATACTTCTGGTTGGGACTCGGTGTACTTTCGTAAGGATTTTGAAGGTGATGCGAAGGACCGTATTCGTCTATGTGAAGGTGCGGTGCCGGAAACAGTGGCTGCTGCCATGGGTCAGAAGAAGCGTTGGGCTAAGGGTGCTGTGCAGATTTTGCTGATGAAAAATGAGAGTGAGGTCGACCCGGATTGGCGTCCACCGCGCGTGCCTGCCCCAGACCCAAAGCCGTCACTTACGTTCCCACGTAAGATGTTTTTCTACGATTCGGTGCTGTACCCCTTCGGTTCGATTCCTGCCTTGTGTTACGTATCGATTGCTGTCTACTATTTGTGTACGGGCGACGCTCCGATCTACGCTCGTGGAACTAAGTTCCTGTACTCTTTCTTGCCCGTGACGTTTTGTCGTTGGGTACTGAATCTGCTGGCTAATCGTGCTGTCGACAACAATGACGTGTGGCGTGCGCAGCAGACATGGTTTTCGTTTTCGTTCATTACGATGATGGCTATCATTGAAGCCATCCAGGCGCGAATGACGGGCAAGGACAAGTCGTGGGCAAACACTGGTGCCGGTCAGAAGACGTCGTGGACAGAAATTCCAAACGTGCTTTTTTTCTTTACGCTGCTGTTCAGTCAGTTGGTGGCGCTTATTCGTTTCTTCGAGTACGAAAACGCCACGAACCCATGGAACTACGTGTCGTCCATGTTTTTTGGCTTCTTCGTTATGAGCCAGTTCTACCCCATGGTCAAGATGAGTATCACGGAGTACTGTGGCTGGGATCACACTGCCGCTACATTTACTGCGAACGTGTTTGGTTCGCTGCTTGTAGTCTATATTGTGGTATTTGTTCAGCTGTGGCAGGTTTACTACGCGGGCAATCTCCAGGTGGCCCAGGGCACAGATGGAGGAGGATCTACTGCGACTTAGACGAATATCAATCGGACTGTTATGGAGACCCAGATGATGATCAGCCGAAGAAGACTTAGCAGGCAAAGCATGCTAAGAGAGATGAGCCGAAGCGGTTTTGTAGCTTATGTAGCGGACCAGCGATGTGCTCTTAAGCCGTGTACTTACATCGTTTTCTTTCAATTGACTGAACATTTTCATTCATAAATTACTGTTTGATTGAATTGAGTTTGTTTTCTATGATTGTGACAAGTAATTTACTCCTGCTCTACTGCTGAGTCAAAGCCCATTCTTGGTCAAAGATGGTCACGAGACTACTTCGAATGATGTCCAAATTTTTTTATACAGGATTAGTTAGTCAACGATACCAGCTGATCACAAGACATCATCGCACTGAGCCACTCAATGTCTCAGTAGGTTCTCTCTAAGAAACGCGAGTGCGAATTCCTTGACGATCGGTACAAAAGTTTGTGATGACCGATGCTCGCTTCAATTCTTGTCTTCTAAGCTTGTCTGACGACGCGAGACAAAAATTCAGTTGACACGCGTTTTTGCACTAACGCTCGAATAGTTTTCAGAGAACGGCATCAACACTTTGCCGCAAGCTGAGCAATCCCCTCCACAAGGCACACACACCACCGACGTCAGGATCAGTTGTTCGCCTGGTGAGGCCTCCGGAAACGATGGATAATAGTAACAACCTCAGCACATGTGCTAAAACTGGAGAGCTGAGAGCAGTTCGCACCGTAGGTGTCTGTGCAATACTGGCATAATTGACGCCATCAGCGCAGAAACATCCTGGCTCACAAAGTCTAACAGAAGCGCACAGAGCGATGGAGCAGCACCGAGCCTTTCTGTATGAGCTTCGGCTCAAGTGACTCGGCGCGATAGATCATCGCATTGCCATCACACTCACGTTTTGTTGTTCTCTTACTGTCGTCGCCTCGATTTACAAAATTTGTGCAAGAGGATGTCTTGCCACGTTCTCATGTAGTGAGCCCTTGTACGACGAGCTAACGGTGTAACAGAGCTTCAGGAGTAAGAAAAGCTTTGCCACTGGTAACTCGCCTAGCCAGCCATGATGTTTAAATCATCATGTCAGGAGCGACCTCATTCGCTAATGCATGATCTGCAGGCGCTTCCTGGTCACATGTACGCTTGCTATGTCCTGTCAGGCCGCAATATTGCCGTTTTCCTTGCGCATCTTCACCGCATTCCAATAAATTGCTGTTGCCATCGAGTACAGCATTCGCAGTTGCAGACGTCATCAACACCTCATCATTTAAAGGACAGGGTTTTGATTTAGGACGTCCGCGCTTGCGAGCCACGGTGGGAACTCGAATTGCGTGATTTTCTTGCAAGTCAGAGTCTAGCAAAAGCTCTATGCTGCCCGTACGTTGGGTGTCATACTGCTCCGCAAATGTCGTGACCCTGAAACACTCATCCATAAAACTCTCATCTTCACTCGAGCGCTTGAAAAATGCTAACCCAGCGAGGAAATGACGGCACGGCACGCCCATCTGCTGCAAAAACGCACATGAGCATACGCATTGGTCCAGGTCCACGCGATAGCGCCGAGGCGGGAACGAGCGCGACTCGGTCACAAATAGAACGCCATCGTTGGACGGCTGGACGACCTGAAAATTTGATGCGTCACGCTGTTCCGTGAGTAACTTTTCCGCGTATTCTGTAAACACTTTACCCCCCTCAATCCATTTCTTCGCATGCACACCTTGGTTGTAAGCAAGGGTCATGAAAAGTTCCATGTAGTGTTGCATCAAGTCATACGGAGCAAGACAGAGCAAGTCCTTGTTGTCATCTGCTGAAAACAGCGTCGAGTTCCAACCGTATAGCTTCACGTGCTGTGCGACACAAAACAACGCCCAAGTTCGAGGATCAAGACCTCGCAAATAGCTTTCTGCTGCAGGACATGTGAGTCCAATCATTCCTAGACACGAATTAAATTCCGCTTCACTATCAGCAGCTTGTGCACGCCAGACCAAGTCCTCAATCTGCACGGTTGCCACGTTCTTGGCCACTCTGATTTTCAAATGAGAAATAATATGTCGCGTACATTGTCTCAATGTCAAATCAAGCCCTTCTGTTGCTGCAAGTAATGTTCTTGTTCGGTCGGTTAAAATCACTGCTTTTGATAATTCCAATTGTGCTTGCTGACAATTGAGTAAGAACCATCTCCAATTCTCGACATCAGCTTGTGGTGCAATTGCAACACAGAGAGTCATCACTTGATTATTCCCATCTTTTCCAATCAGAAGAAAAAGCTGTCCATGATAGTTCAAATTTCTTATTTTTGCTGTATCGAGACCAAAAACTGGTTGTAATCCTCTGGAACATTGATACTTTCCAACAAATGGATGAGCTAGAAAAGCTCGTTGAAAAATACCACTCAATTGATCCATTTCAAACTTGACATGAACACTGGAATTTTTCAACTGGAAAGTTTTGAGTAAACTTTCCAATTTTTGAAATCCTTTGAGAAATTTTCCAGCTGCTAAATGTAAAATTTTATCCCGTACCCGATATGCTTTTCGAGAGGATATTATTTCACCACTACATTCCTCTAATTGTTTTCGTAATTCGTTTACATTTGCTGAACTTGGAGTACCATTTTCACCCAATAAAACAGCAGCAGCTTGCCGCACCGTAAGTTTAGGAATACCAGCACAGTCGGACGAATGTTGCGCGACGAACGAACTGACAAAAAAATGCGAACTCTGAGCACTGCGACTTTTCAGCAACTTTATGCGAAAGTTGCACGGCGAGGACCGACTGGCACACACATATTCGTACTGCGCACCGCCCGACTTTTTCTTATTAATTATAAGGCGTTTTCCCTGTGCTTTTGCAAAATCTTGAAAGAAGATAGTGGCACTTGGACGGTCAAGAAATGTCAAGCCACGGCGTAATGTTAACTCACGTCCATCTACTGTAGTCACACTTACACCGGGAGCATCAGGTGATATCTTGACGCTACGTGGCATGATAGTTGTAATCAAGTAAATGAAGAAATGCTACTTAATCGTTACTTTTGCAAAAAAAACGCTTTGTTTGGGTGACTATAATTAGAGGACTCTATCTTACAATAAGAAGCTGAAACGACCTTTAATTCGTCCTTGTTGCGAGCGAGATATTGCCGTATGAATTTGCAGTCAATAATGAAAAGTCGCATTGTTAAAGACTGTATCATGTTAAAACTGCACGTATGACAATAGCCACCGAGAGAATTAGTTATAAGAGCTTCTTAAAGAACTCAACGCACGTGCACAGTTGTCTAATTACGCTGCAAAGCGGTAAGAAAGCCATAATATATCGCTGCACAACTTTTAACATTCTGAAAAGACAAGTTTTCGTATGGAAGGTTTCTTGCGTCCGGCAGCTTGCGCTCATAAAGCAGCATGTGGTGTCTAAGATATCCGTGTGTCTACGACCTATTTTTTCAGTAGCTTCAATGACTTCTATGCAAATGTTGAGGACGTTTGAACTTTAATTTCATCAATTGAGCGTCTCAACTCGGTTGTTGTGGGTAAGAAATAGCGACATCCAGAAATTCGAATCTATAGCATAAGATCCCGTGCACTGATACTTCGCTAGAAAGCATTACAGTTCACTACTAAGTCTCTTCTTTATTTAGAGAGAGGGAGGGGTGACACGGCACGCACTGATGCCTCGAGATAACTAGAAGTGCAGTGAAGATACTACTGATACGGCTAATGAAGTCAGTGAAACCTTTATACTGTTGCATATTAAGGTCAATATTTGCTGCGCGGGCAAAGCCTTGAATGCCACGGCTGTCATATCACTCTGAACCTATCATCGCTAGACAGAATGATCCTTTGTCATGATTGCCACGGCCGTAAATTATATTCACTATAAGAGGGAGCGACTGTGCCACGTCAATCTGCTTTGTGATCACAGCACTAGTACTTCCATCGACATAAGTTAAGCTCCAAACACTAGTAACTTGACTATTAGCTTGGTGTTCCTTTGCAAACCACTTCTCACTTACCACCAAAATGCTAGTAGCATGCATTACCAATAGCACTTTCCGCACGGCAGAAATGAAGTCTCTCTCTCTTCGTATCTAGAGCGTGAAACTAGTTCGTTCACGCGCTGGATATCGATGCAAAAAACCTCTTTGATGTGGCCTGCATTTGTTGGCTTCCAAACTTCGACATCCACCCCCCCCCCACCCCCATCGTAATTTCCATGCGGCTGCGCGAGATCCTGCACCTTCCAACGTTGAAGATCCTACCGTCAATAGCGTAGGGACAAGACGTATTAGATTTAGCTTCACTATCGGGCCACGTACGTTTTTTCTCCGTGGGGAATGACTACTACCGGTCCTTTCCTGCTTGAGAATTGCCCTTATGTGCCATGTCACCTGCTACTGACAAGTCTAGTTAGTAGCTTTAACAAGTACTCAATCCGTTTTATATCTTAAAGTATTTATGCGATGTTTTGGACGAACCTTCACTTCCTTAGACACTCTATGATTCGTATCATACTAGTAAGAAGGAAGCAGCATTTCAGCTCACATGTTACAACATTCTTCTAAACTTGATCCAAGACTTTCGCTGAACAGGAAGTAGAAAGTCACTTTATTGTCGTACATTTGTAAGAAAAAATTATGTAGAAGCTGCTTTCTAAACACGCATGCAATACGAAGGACGTTCACGTTGCATGGAATTTTTGGTCGCCAGACATGCGATCGATCATTCTGTAACTTACTTCAGATATTCCATAACTTATGTACAAAATGTCAAGTCAGCAGCCACCGTCCGTCATCGTGGAATCTGATACAAGACCGTTCTCTGGGACACCCAATAGGTCAATTGATGTTGCCAACTTGCACAAGAAGGGACTTGTCATTTTGTATTTCTCCACATTCACACGATCAGTCCGTCGTTTTCCTTTTTCTATCTAATGCACGTATCAAAGCTTTCTATCGTCTTCATCGTTGCTGTCATGGCACTACTTTCAACGGTTAATGCTATTGATGTCAAGCATATCATGGATTCGTCGTCTAGTACTAAAGAATGGCTATTTGCCATTGCTGCAGTCGTGGGAATCGCAGCAGCAGCTGCAGTAGCTGTCATGGTCTCAGTTGTCATCAAAGTGCGAACTTTCGACAGGCCAACGGATCTCGAGCTACATGAAGTTGTGATCTCACCCAGTCAACCAGCAGAACAGCCTTTGTCTTCCACGAAACAAGTTGTCTACACGGCGTACATTTGATTAAAATCAATACTTACTACCTACGGTACCTGCCTTAAGCTATCTACATTCCCTTACATCAATATCATTATCGTTCACTCGATTCCACCTACTACTACTTAACTGAAGCGGTTTTCCGTACTCTATTTATTCGCATTACAGGAGACAAGGAAGTGACTTGAGACGATGACCGTTATGCCGTTGCTCAGGACACAATACATTAAACTCAATACAATGTAGACATTGAAACAATACCAGCATTTTGCCAGCGAGTTTTTCATATCGATATGTTGTGAAAAACGACTATAAGGTTGTAACGAACAGTGTGTTTCTAGATTACAGCACAGGCTCAAATCGAACGTCAGCAAGAGAACACTTTCACTATGCACTATTTTTCATATAGATGCTGCCCTCAATGGCAATGTTTTGACGTATAAAGTCGCTACCATTCAATTGATCACGTGAATTCAAATGAAGAGCCTGGAATATCCTTATACAGCGCCGCCCTTGGTTGATATAGTGTTGGCGTATCAGATCGATCTAGTGAGACTCTCTCCGCATACTTGTAAACTCCCGCAACGCATTTTCTTCTCACACAAGCTGACGTCTTTCTGTCGTGAGATCAGTCGAGACATTCTCCGTCATCTTGGATGCAACGTATGAGAATAACCTGCTCTTGTCGTTGAGATCTCGTTGAGCATGACCTCAACCCCACTGGCAGTAGTGCTCTTAATATCTTTGCCTTCGCTCGAAAGAGACCATGTCGATCCATATCGTGCCAACCGAATCATGAGCTTTACTTCAGAAATCATCGAGTGTAAATCGGTCGTCACGCTACATTATCCGTAGCCATGAAGCCGGATTTGTAGGTGTACTTGAGAATATACAGGTCTATGCAATACTCGCTAGCTCCACGGGGTTAAAATGAAGGAAACATTCCATCATCCATTGACATTCCACGTGACACCACCCCATTGTAAGTAAGTGTGTGACCCAACCAAGTGTACTGTCATCGGACGAGGTAGTAAGGACAAATTCAGTGATCACTTGGATCGCTGGCCTTCCTCCACGGTTATTGTACAGCTTTTAATCGCCATCGAGTCGCCACACATTCCTTTCAGCAAACAAGTCTGTACAGCCAAGCTCTCGGTGCAGGAGGCAATCATAATGACCATAACATTCCGTAGACGTAATGCGTAAGGTCTGGACATGCAGGAAAACCTCCGAAACTCATTCCCATTCATGACGCTCCACTAGCTATGAACGTCAGTAACACAAAAAGTGATAGCGTCCGGCTCGTTAACATGAACAATAACAAACGGGCATAACAGAGCGAGTGCTAAACGGCCTTGTCTTACGCAAGAGATCTCCATCTGTCAACATGCCCTAGCATTGTCAAAATCCTTCTTCGCTTGAACGTTCTCGCTACGATAGCGTTACCTTGCCATCGATGCTAGGTGTTCATTCAGATCGATATAAATCGTTGTAGCATCAAACGTCTTCAAGACTGTATTCGTTGATATAATCCAGCTATGTCTTCATGATCAGCAAAGCCTCTTTTGCAACATGCCAAAAGCAAGCTTCGATACGTCATCGTTGACCTTGAGTCTTCATCGCCATCACGTCATTCACTCTTGTTCAACACTCCCTGAGCTAGACGGTAGCATCTTGACGCCAACCTGCCATGCAACTTTCACACAAGGAAGTAGCTTGACCTTGCCTGTGAGAACCACGTTTGACGTAACATTTCGATTCCTGCACAGCAGTTGCGCATGAGCAAAAGAATATTTGCCCACGTCGTACTATAATCCACATCGAGACTCACCATCCAACTTGCGCTTTGTTTAAGATGCGATACAAGCCTTGAACCTGCGCTGCAAAATGCACACATATTGATTAACATGCGGGCCGCGATCTTGACAGCTTTGGTCCAACATGCGTTGCACATCTGCTTTTGACATCGTGATCCAATTTGATAGCCTCGAAATACTGCTTCATAGAGTCATGAGGCCATCTTGCGCAGGAGATACGCTATAACATCCACTTTACGCATGGTGAGTATGCTTGGCGATGATCGTTGGGAATTGCAGTGACAGAGCAATGTTTCAGGTGAACTGAGGTAACTAAGCATGGATGTGGCCGTCTCGGAGCATTTTGATCATCCGCCCCTCTACTTTTAACTGGACAACGTGACAGCTGGTCGCAGGAAATTGTGGCACCAAGATAATGAGCGAGAGCTGTAGCTGCTGCAAATGTGACATGCAGCTCTTCCTGCGTGAACGTGTCCGACGTCTCGAGCAGCAGCGTGCGTTGATCTCTTCATTAGCATTGCTTAATCTCTTGCGACCTGCTTTTTGTTCTGAGATCCACAGATTACAAGATGTTGCGCGATCGTATGTTGTATACAGGAAAGCAGAAAGCGCCACGCATAGTCCAAGCCAGCAAACTGGAAAAAGCACAACCGTTACAAGACCTATATCAAGACGCACATTATTTATAACAAAAGCTATTTTGCAACGTTCATTGATTCAAATACCTCAAAAAAGTTCTGTTCTAGTCACCACAGAGTCATGGCAACGTATACAAGCATTTCTCCTGGCCTTGTTGTCCATTATTTTCACTTGTTCAGTGTCACACGAGACTTGAATGCATCATAACGGCATTTTCCGTAGGCTAAAAAGTCAAAATCAATCTTTGATTGAGAAGCTTGAATGTAACCCCAAAGTGCCCAGAATAAATGAGATGCTAATGAATACGTATTAGCTTCCAATCGCAGTGTTTCAATATCATCGTCACTAACATCCTGGTCATGTCCATCTTTTCCAGCCAAGTACGCACGACAGAAATTGCGCTGTTCTTCTTTAGTTGGATACTTTGTAAAATCCCCGATATGTGGATTAATAGTCTTATGGTAATCATATGCCCATTCACAAAAATGGTTTCCAACATCATATCCACGTGGATTATAACTTGTATACTCAAAATCAATCAATACAGCTTGTCCTTGTTCATTTTTCATGATATTTCCATATTGTAAATCATTATGACTTAATACAAGACGAGATGGGACTTGGTTTAGAAATATTTCTAATTCCTCCACATCTTGTTTCAATTGATGATAATTCACAAATTGTTGAAATTTTGAATCAAGACATTTTCGACCCACGGTATCAACAAGTTTACGTATACTTGTGAGATACGTTGGATGCCGATCAATCTCAAGATTCAAGTCATGAAACACTCGTACTTGTTTCGCAATCAGACGGGATTCATCCACTTGTCGCATACGTTCATTTGTATAGGTAATCCCAGGAATCAAAGTCTCAACACGCCCATTCGCAAATTGACCAAGTAATTGAATGCCAATGTGTTTCTCACTTAATAATTGAAACATACGTGTCTCTTCTTTACGTGAAAAGAAAACATCCGTTCCTTCACCATACACACGTACAAGTACATGACAATCTTTCCCAGAAGATTTATGTAGAGCAAATATTAAATTTGTCATTGCACCCCCAAGATGTTGGATTTCCACGACTTCCGGCTCAATATGATGCCAACTTGGTACACATTTACAGATTGTAGAAAGTAGACAAGACTCTAATTCATGTTTTGTCTTGCACAATGTCGCTACAGCAGCTAAATAAGGCGCTACGATGACAGCGGAATCAGTGACATTGGAAATGCTATTGTCATTTTTATCAAGTGTCATGATATTTACAATACCAAAAAATCACACAGAGAGCAAATAGAAAAATTTTCAAATTTTAGGACCACGGAAAAGAAGAAATGAGATGAGGTGATAGAGGGAGGTGAGGTGGTACGGACCTCTTTGAATGAATAAAACCACGGCCGACGTTTCATTCAGTATACAACCAATACATAACACAAGTTAAATAGCTTGTCCACTTTAATTCTAAAAAAAAACTCGTTTCACTAAAGATAAAAAAACCTTGAAATATGACATTTTAGATGACAAACTACAGGAATTTATAAGCAAAAGCTAGATATTTTTTGCATGAAATATTACCTTTGCGGATACATTTTGTGGCGACGCGTTCTTTTATACTAGAAATTACTTGTCCCAAAATGACACCACCCGATTATTTTGTACCCCATTTTTGATCAAAAAAAGCCAAAAAGGATCAATATATAGAATCTACCTACCCATTTTAATTAATCATATCGGCCGATACATAACAACAACATGTAGCCAAAACCAATAAGAAATTCTTGTTACGTATGGTGATAATGCACTGGCATCCATTCGACTCAATAATCTCCATCAGCTCAATCCAATTGCATCCCCAACTTGACCTTTAGTACCTCCACAATATTGAAAATTCACGCAAACTTTGCCAACTTTACCAAAAAGTTTTTCAATCGTGCCTTCATCGAAATTCCCTTGATCAGCACTAGTTGTCATACATCGCACTCAAGCACCGACAGCATCTTTTGCTTCGTGCTCGGTATAAAATAACCCCGACATAATCGCAAACGGATTTCTTCCTTCCACGGTTGTCTCACCCTTTAATCGCTCGATTCTGCCACGGCGAACAACAACGGAAAGCTCAATGTTTCGATTTTCTTCATCTACTTGTTCTGCAGACGCGTCGGTGATAGTGAGATGAGCAGTTTCTGGTGTCATACCTTCAATCACTGACGCTGACTCCACAGCTGTATATACTTCCGGATAGAGCAAAACTCTTTCTTGAACGAACGAGCGCGCGCTAGTCTTGGCAGTACATTGAGTACGCGTTGTAGAAGCATGTTTCATTCTGATCGCTGTCGACTTTACTTTTAGCTTGGGTGGTTTCAAACTGATCAGCTTAAGAAAGCGCAGAACAAACTTTTCGCCCAAAGCAGGAACGAAAGCCGGTTTCGAACACAATGAGGGGGTGGGTACCATCACAATGCGAAACTTGCCGGCTTTTCCAAAAGGTCCAACAATGATTCCCAGCGCTCGTGTTTGCTCAAACAACACTACTTGACCCTGATACACGCTCCACTTCACATTCTTCGAGAACATATCGCGACCGATCACCTCGCGCTTATTTCCATTACTATCATTTCTTGACACAATTACTTTGTCAACAAAGCCATCCTTACAATTCAATCGACCGATTTGCATACGAGCTAGGCTCACTACACTGCGGTGCACAGAAAATACAGCGTCTTAAGCTCCTCCTCATTTAACGCCACGACACTTTGTACAACGCCATAAAAAGCCAGACGACATGGATACTTCTTCGCGTCAAGATCAAGACGTGAGCACACGACTAGCGCCGCAGGAGGGCAATAGACTACGTGTTCAAACTGGAGCAACACAAAAAACTGGAGCATTGCCAGTCTTGCTCGCACTATCTGGACTGCTGTCTTCAATATCGAGATTTAGCACGTACTCATACAGCGCTGACGGATCAAATGCACCGTTTACGTGCTCAACGCCTCCTTCCAACTCTCCTAACCGCGTGAAAAATGTAGCGGTAGCAATCACAGTCGTGTGACCTACCGTCGTATGACACTTTGCTCCACTCTTGCAAGCTGCGCAACAAAAAAGGGCACACGTGTTACAGCAATTACCACCTGCGTAAATGGAGCCAAACACCCAGGCGGAGACACCGCCAACGCTTGTTAGATAAGTACCGGGTCGAGTGCGTTCACTCGAACTCCTACTCGGTCAACTTGGCCACATGTTTCTACATCTTGTTTACACACCTGCAACGTCTTGACTTTTGTCTTCATTCTGATCGGCAGTAACATGAGCTCGTCACCCTTCGAAAAAGCTCCAGATAGTACAGTACCTGTCAGTACCGTGCTATTCCCTGGCACAGCAAAGCAATGGTCCACTGCAAGACAACAAACTCCTGTGGTATCACGTTCTGGAGCTTGCAAATAGTTTCTCAGCACCTCAACAAGCTCTGGAATTCCTTGTGTCAACTGTACATTTCCCACGGCTACAGGAACGACCGGAAAAAAATTATCTCTAGCAATATGACAACATGTAAGCCAAAATTGTTTGTATTTCGCTGGTAATTGTGGCAATGACTGCTGAAATTTCCAAGTCGTTAGAACAAAGCAAATCCGTCTTGGTTAGAACTACTATTACTCTTTGTTTATTCGTAAGTGCCACTAGCAATAAACTCTCAATTGTCTGCGCTTGAAGACCTTTGCAACTGTCTACGACTAGTATCACCATGTCAATAATGGCTACACCTCTCAAAATCGTTTGAAACAAGTGATGGTCCTTCATGTGGATCGAGGTAAAAGCTAGAGAAGCCCAGATCTAATGTGATACCACGATCTTGGCTCTGAGGATGCTTATCTAAAGCTGCAGTAGATAATTGTGTGCTTAAAGCACGCACAAGACTTGTCTTGCCGCTGTCAACGTGCCCCAAGACGCCTACATTTACATTGGCTCTTTTCATTGGATAAAAATAATCAAGGCTGCGGTACAAATGGTGTGACCACATAATACGTAAAAGACGGTTTTTGTTGAAGTAAATGTAGCCATGGTAGCAAGTAATCAATGTTCTCTTATCTTTAGAAGGATCAATAGAAGACTATAGATCCACATTCACTTAGCTTTGAGCTTCTTAAACTGTTTAACTACTTCTCCTTCTGTTGTTTACAATTAAATACTAAGCAGAAATTACGTAGCAAGTAAAGAAAGTGAAAACTTGCAGCTTCATCGCACTTTTCGTATCACTTCCTGGTCAATTCTTCTGACTACTTGATCGCTCCTTCGTTCAAACCGTCAACTAAACGTCGTGTCAGCATTTGCTACTGCTCTTCCGTTGAAAGAAGATAATGTAACGACTGCATACTTGATCTTAGATCTAGAAACATACTGCTTGGCAAAGGATAAACACAAGTCTTTTCATACATTGAATTGCTACTACGAACTCAAGACGTTCATTGACGATAGTATAGCTTCATTCGCAGCAAAAGAAAACAGCATAATGATATGTTAAGAGACTGGTAAAGCCTAAATCATCCCATTATAATGTCAATAAACATTGAAGTAGCTTTGTAACATTAGCAAAGTACGTTCCATGGGGTATTCGAAAGGTTCTAAATGTGGGTTAAGCATCATCATATGCTCAACACATTCAAACAATGTCGGCAAACTATTTGCTTGTCATTCTCCTAGACCACAACAAATATCTATCGAAGCGAAAACTGCAAGAATACCAACTGAAAGTCTGCGGCAGTTGTCGACGAGTAGTGCCATTTGTGATACAATAGTGAAATTCGATTGTCATAATCACGCCAATCTCTTTGCCTAGGCTCGACCAAAACAAGGAATCGTGATTACGAACACATATTCAAAAAGCTTGAGAGTAAACTCACGGCGCAACTTTATAGGATGATTGAACTAAGGTATAAATGTGGATTGAGCTGTTGGCGGAATGGATTGTTGGCGCTGCATCGAAATAGTTTGAAAAAGGAAAATTTACAATAACCCCATCGTCGATACAGACTGTGTGCGCATGCATTGCATCCTCATCATACGATAGATGAGGACGCATTGCATGCGCAGTATGTATCAGGTGCATGTGTCAGAGTAACGATAATATCAGGATCTCAAGTGTGAATTTTACATACACACCTACCCACACCACTTTTGTTTGGCTGTCCTTTCGGTACATTGGGTTTACGCCATCTTTGATGTAAATCATATTCAAGGTACAATAATGCTGGCTAAGCACTAGAGGCTACAGAGCCAGTTAAATAAAAAAAAATATAGTGACTAGTACTCAGTATAGAATAAGCGCTTCGATATATTAGTGCTAGAAGATAAACATATACATACATTAGTTTAGAACTTGCTCTGTAATCATTTGTTGCTAGAGTATATTCTCATTGGAAAAGGAAATAGTACTGGCCTCATAGAGACGTGGTTGTTTGCAACCAGAAAACACAAGCTTAAAAAGCTAGCCTTAAGAGGGTTGTAGTGAGTGACGTGGCCGGGTGATGTCAAATGGTCCTGCACCAGAATCAACACTCAATAGGTAGGCACCAAGAGTGCGCTACAGATGATAATGGATGGAAGATTCATGAGTGTGCTCGATACGCTTGAAACGGCAGCGTGGTAGAGTCTATAGATCGCCATATGGGAGTGAGTGATTAGTCCTGAGACGTAAAGCTCGTAAAGATTGTCTTTCTCTACACGAAGTTCATAAGTAGCGTTGCTACACCTCGTAGCATTTGTAGTCAATCCCGCACCTGGGTCTGCGACTACTTCTCTGTGGGAATGGACATCGAAGATATGACGTGGTTATCCTATTGCAGGCACAATAAGAATGGCAGCAAGAACTGTTACCTATTCTTGGCCCGAAGGTCGTGGTGGAATACCTCATCGCCCAAATAAAAGAATAAGTCAACAAGCGCTTTCATATGCGCCGTCGCCTATGGCGACTCTGGCACAGGACTAGACCGCAGATTAAAACCGAGTCATATGGAAGTCGATAAGCTCGACGACAAAGAGGTGATAATCTTATGCTGTGGTTCCGACAGGTTGAGTCGGCGAAGTTAATAGCCGACATCACCGATGAACCATACCGTTTTGGCTGTGCCACGGGAAATCTGGGTGGATTAGAAAAACAATGGACATTCACATGCGTTACAACACTGCAAGATGATTTCGCAACTTCGGCAGGTCTGAAAGTTCAGATGACACGGCAGTATTCACCGCCAAATCAAGTGCGCCGAGCTCGGTGTCAATTCTTGGCATGTCGAAAAGGAAAGCGTGAGCTTGCGGCAAATATGCAAGAGATTAGAACTCTAATGCAGTCATGGTTATAAACCTTCTACCTGAGGCAGCAACCGCCATATTTTTATGGAAGACCTCCGAGTTAGCATTGCCAGAACGGAAGTCTTCCGGGTAGCCCCATACTAATTTGAGGCAGCTGTTGGGGGTATGGAATGCCGAGACAAACTTAAAGGCCGCTAGGCCTGCCACTTGTAACTACTCGTCTGGTGGGTCGGATCTCATGTACTGTAGTCAAGTGGACGAAGAATAAGCTAAGCTTCAAGCTGCGGAGCGGCAAAGGGTGCACAGATGCTACATCTTTTAGAGGACCGGCCATACGATGGCAAAATCCCCTGCACGAAGGGCATATTTGGCCTCGAAAGGCCGACATCCCGCGGTCAAACACTCTGCTTTAGCATTAAGTTGGAGCGCTGAAAGAGCGTGAAAGTGTTACCGTCACGGTTTGCTTAGCGACGTGTCCACGTGTTACGGTACCCAAAATATATATGCACTAAAATGTAAAGTTCTTGGAGTTTAACAGCTTGGAAAGCTGTTTGGTCTTAAATCTAGATGCGAGGTTTGACCTCACGTGACAAAAAGGTGAAACTCTCGCCTAGTATTACTACGCCTTTGGCGAGTTTTTGTGTACCTTCTGGGCAATAGCAGTTTATTAGAATGAACTTTGTGTTTGTCCTACCGCGTGATACGGCGTGCAACACTGGGATTGTGGTCTTTATTGACCGACTGAGCACGATGGCTCATTTAAAGGCAGTGCCGGACCCCATTAATGGACAAGGAAAATCTAAGCTGTTCACGGATCGTGTGTCTCGACAATACGGATTGCATGTAGTAATTGTCTCTGATAGAGACCCCCGTCTCACAGAAAAGTTATGAAGTCAGTATTTTAAGTGCGAGAAACTTGACTGGACATGTTTACGGCAGATCATCCGCAGACCGATAGTCCGACAGCGCGTGATTCGAGTTTTTGGTGATATTTATGCAGCGTCTATGCCGAAACGATTAAACAATGGATCGCAATGCTCCCACTCATTAAGTTTGCATCGAGCAATGCGGTGACATACTTATACAGAAGTCACCCCGTTCTATGTTAATAGTTTGGCGAATCCTCGCTCCGTTACACTACCCCTTGCCACATCAGGGTCTGCCACCTCATGGCTTGGTGGGAAAGAGATAGCCGAAGAATTGGCTGATATTAGCCCCGTTGCGATATGCAAGAAGATGGAAGCGTTCTTTGACCGCGTTTTGACGTATTACGTCGCGTCAAAGACACTGTGGCTGTAAGGCAAGATGTTCTGACAGGAATATGCAGATGCCAAAGGAAGATAGAACGAACACGAGTTCAAAGTGGAAGATTAGGCTTATTATACGCTAGGGATTTACTTACTCGCGCAGTGTCTGCGGTATAAAAAACCAACTACGCTCACGCTTTATTGGACCATATAAAGTAATAATTAAAGAAAGGATTAGAAGATACGCTTAACCTGCAAACATACCCAGTGCGCTATATGAGCTTACTGAATCCATATCTCAAACTGTCGCCTTGATGGACTTTTAGGGGTTACAATCCATGATCATGTCCGAAGGAGGCGAGTAAAGCGGCACCAGAGGTGCATGGACACTGTAGGCGTTCCAGAAGGTTGATTTGGTAACAAAACTCGGGTTGAGAACGCTCAACCGCCGCTAAGCAATTATCAGTCGCAGAGCGATAACGCTCAAAGGAGCGACAGTGTCGATCAATACGGTTATAGAGCGATGACAGTTGAGTCGTCACCGACCCAAAAGCATCACGCTTCAGTATCGTCAGGCAACATTTAACTAGAGAGATCATGGGGCCATTGTTCATCGACCTACGTTGATGCTGATTGATGATCTGGTTCATCAACAGCTCCATGTCGATCACCTCTTGTATCGACGTCGTCACCACGGTCATACCCAGTGCCTAATAATATGGAAAGGGAATTCACAGTCGTATGACTCGTGAAAGAACGAGTAATCCCTCCGGCAAGATTCTCGGATGTCTCCGACGTTTTTACACAAGACGGTCAAAAGCGGCGACAGCAGTCATCGGAAGTTTGATAGCAGTAGTTGCTGTAGAAGCAATGTGGCTTTTTTAGCCTCCGCCTCTGACCTTTATGGATAAGCAATTACCGGTAACTCACTCGCGTGAGAACTGCTGGCAACTTTTGCAAGAGTAGTGACCACACAAGTCTTAAGCTTGTGCGTGTGGATAATTTTTGACGTATTTATTTACGCTTTGCGTATTGAAAGGTTGAACGACGTTCTACCCAAGCCTTCTTTTCTCTAGGGACTAAGCGTAGGTCTCAGAGACTTGCAAGCTCAAACCAGCGTGTGTGCTGGTGGTCATCTTTGTTAAATATCTCTACTGATGGTAGAGTCACTAGGACGTCATTTTGAGGGGTATAAACACCCCACTTGAGTTTCTTTTTAACAAATCTACGAGTATACAACAGAGGTTTAAGACGCCGCTTACAAAGCTTCGAGAGTTCGGGTTGGGGCTGAGCCCTGTTTTTTACTATCTCCTAGAAAATCAACAGCTCAGCTCTTTCCCAGTAAGGTGCCTGCGAGGGTTCCGTGATTGTCCCGCGGCAAATCAGAATGTGTACTTCCAAAGGGTCGGGATTTCGAGGCCAA